CCCCGTGTGGTGCTCCCAGGCACCCCCAAATCACTGACCCCTTACTGTCAGATTCCTCCCCGGCCCCCAAGCCGCTTCCTCCAGTCTCATGCGCCCCCGCCCCCCGCAGCAACAGCTGTCTCCGAGGCCCTCTCAGACCATCTACAGGCGCGTGGAAGGCCCCCAGCAGGGGCGCCTGGAGCCCCTGGAGGAGGAAGAGGAAGACGGGGCGGAGGGGGCGGAGCCGGCCCGCTTCTGCCCCATGGAGCTGAGGGGCCCTGAGACCCTGGGCTCTAGGCAGGGGCCGCCAAGCCTCATACCCTGGGCGGCAGCAGGAAGAAGGGCGGCCCCCTACCTGGTCCTGACGGCCCTGCTGATCTTCACTGGGGGTGAGACCCGTCCCCTCCCCCCACGGTGAAGGGCTGGGCTGGGAGAGATTTCTGGGGTCCAGAGGCGGGCACAAGGAGGGTCCCCATCTTGTCCCCCACCCCCCAGCCTTCCTTCTGGGTTACGTGGCCTTCCGAGGGTCCTGCCAGGCGTGCGGGGACTCTGTGTTGGTGGTCAACGAGGACGTCAGCTATGACTTGGGCCCGGACTCCCACCGAGGCACCTTGTACTGGAGCGACCTCCAGGCCATGTTCCTGCGGCTCCTGGGGGAGGGGCGCCTGGAGGACACCATCAGGTAGGGACTGCCCTGCCCCCCTCCTGGCCCCAAGGGTCCTCCCCTCATCCGCGCAGGCTGGGCCTCCCTTCCTCCTCGCCCAGCCCCTGGTGCCTCAGTCCTTCTGAGTCCTCCCACCTGCCTCCCTGGCCTCCCTGTTCGGTGGTCCCGGGAGGAATGGCAGGCGTTCAGAGCTGAGATTCCGGGGGGCTGAGGCTCAGAGGGTGACGTATCTGGGAGATGAGGGAGCTGACTGGCTGAGGACAGAGGAGTCCAACGTCCAAGCAGAGGCAAGGCAGACCAAGAAAAGTCTTGACTGCCACACTGAGGGACCTGGACTTGGACCTGCGGCTGTAGGGAGTTCTGAGCGGCTCTGAGAAGGGGGCATTCTAGGGAATCAGAAAAGCAAGCAAATGCACGTGTGAGCACAGCATGTCCCACCTACCCCACCCGTGGGGGTGCCGGCCAGACAAACACCGTACAGGCGCTTTCGTCCTGCTGGGGTCACTTTTCCCTACTGGGGAGAAGCTACCCAAACTGACCCAGAAGCTAGGTTCACCCACAGCCCTCTTTTGGGTCAGGGGTAGTTTTCAGTGGATTCTCCTGGGCTAAGTAGATAATCCACTAAGCTATAGAGAGTAGGACATGCCTATTCTCTTTTCCATGCTTACACCTTTTATTTTTTTTACATTTCTTTCTTTCTTTTTTGAGTCGGAGTCTCACTCTGTCGCCCAGGCTAGAGTGCAGTGGCACGCTTACGGCACCACAGCCTCGACCTGCTGGGCTCAGGTGATCCTTCCACCTCAGCCTTCCAAGTAGCTGGAACCACAGGCATGTGCCACCACACCCGGCTTATTTTTTGATTTATTGTAGAGATGAGGTCTCGCCATGTTGCCTGGGCTTGTCTCGAACCCCTGGGCTCAGGCGATCCTCTCACCTTAGCCTCTCAAAGTGCTGGGGTTGCAGGCTTGAGCCACCGTGCCCAGCATACATTTCTTACTGCATTCCAGAGGACATGAATTTAGGGAACAGTGTCAGTAGGTATCTTTGCCTATTTCTTGACTTTAATAATAGGAATGTTTTCATAATATTTGTTATTGAGCGTGAACTTTGCTGCAGGCTCTGGACAGCTTCTTAAAATTGAATTAAGAAAGTTTCCTTCCATTCTTAGTTTACAGAAACTTTTAAAAAACGATCTGGAAAGGAAGAACAGATAAGGGATTTTGTCTTACAAATATTTTTCCAGAACGTACTGAGATGCTCACATAATTTTTCTTTTTTAATGTTTATATAGTAATCTGTATTAATGGGTTTCCTTATCTTCATGAGGTCAATGTTAAACTTGATCGACATGGCTTATTACTTTTCACACGCTGTGGGATCCACCTGCTAAAAAAGCTTACATTTGTGGAATCAACTATGGGCACAGCCTTTGTATTTTCTTGAGCAGGGTTGTCTGGGTACAGGCTGAGCAGGTGGATGGTTTGTTCGGTCTGGGGGCAGTATGTGTGGCGCTGTGGGTGCCCTCACAGGGCAGGGAGGCAAGAGGCTAGCAGTCACGAGGAGAGAGCAATGAACTGATGCATAACTCTAGGTGGGATGGGAAGGAAAAGGAAACCAGGGAGGAGCTGAAAGGCTTGGAGGAACTGGACATGTGGAGAGCTCGATGGGGTTGAAGAACAGGTAGAGTGAAGGTCAAGGGGTGCGTTGGAGCCTGACAAGGTCTCCTCAGAGGGTGGGATTCTGGAAGCTTGTCTCTGATAAACAGTGTCCTGCTGGAGTCTCTGATAAAGTATCTGATCAACAGTGCCCCATTGGAGTCTCCAGCACCTACCACAGTGCACAGCACTTAGTAGATGTTCAGTAAATCCTCAACGGATAAACACTCCAGAAGTGAAGTTCTGGGGAATGACAAGATGCAGGGTGTGTCCAGGAACTGGGTGGCTAGACTGGAGATGACACTGATGAGGTCATTCATTGATTTATCCAACGCATGTTTTTGAGTACTTACTGTGTGGCAGGTACTAAGTTTAAGCAGATGACAGTAGAACAGCAGAGACCAAAATAGTCTGGCCTTGCTGTCACGGAGCTTACAGTCCACTGGAGGAAATGAACACGGAACTGACAAGTGCATTGATGACTACATAATCACCACTGGGATCATTGCTTTGGAAGACAAGTAAAGGATGTGAGGAATGCCTCTGACGGGGTCCCCTGATCTAGACTGGGAGTCAGGGAAGGCTTTTTTTTTTTTTTTGAGTTAGAGTCTCACTCTGTCTCCCAAACGAGTGCAGTGGCCGCTCCCGGCCACCGCAGCCTCGACCTGCCGGGCTCCGGCGATCCTTCCGCCTCAGCCTTCCGAGTAGCCGGAATTACCGGCGCGCGCTACCACGCCCGGCTGATTTTTTGATTTATTGTAGAGATGAGGTCTTGCTGCCCAGGCGGGTCTCGAACCCACGGGCTCAGGTTAGGGAAGGCTTTCTAGCGGAACTGACCAACAGGGACCTGAGAGATTAGTAGTTTGCCAGGCAAAGGGAATGCGGGAAAGCATCTTAGGCCAGAGGACACAACGTGCAAAGGGCGTGAAGTGGGAAGACAGTGGCCCTGGGAGGAAGGCAGAGATGGTGCACGTGGCTGGCAAGGCGGATGGGCTCAGGCTCTAAAGGGCCTTACTGGCTCCTTTAACTGTGGTGGATTTCATTCTAAGAGGAAGAAGAGAGATCGGAGAGTTTCAAACAATAGAGTACCACGATGGGGTGGGGTGGGGTGGCTTAAGGTGGGTGCAAAAAAATGGAGTCGATCACACTCCTAAGACTCTGGCTCAGTGTGTCCTCATTGGTCAGTGAAAGGACCTTTCCACTTAATTTTCCCTGCCTCGTATCTGAGTATTCTTCCACCACAAGCACCCCATCTAATGTGTTTGATGTGTGCCTTTATTTACTTATTTATTTTTGAGTTAGAGTCTCACTCTGTCGCCAAGAAAGCAGCCTCGACCTGCTGGGCTCCGGCGATGCTTCCACCTCGGTAGCCGGAATTACAGGCGTGCGCTACCACGCCTGGCTAATTTTTTGATTTATTGTAGAGTTGAGGTCTCGCTGCCCAGGTGGGTCTCGAGCCCGTGGGCTCATGCAATCCACTCATCTCAGCCTCCCAAAGGCACGGGATTACAGGTTAAGCCACCAGGCCCGGCTGATGTATGCCTTTAAATACACATGTGGAAGGCTGGGCACAGTGGCTCACACCTGTAATCCCAGCACTTTGGGAGGCCGAGATGAGAGGACTGCCTGAGCTCATGGGTTCGAGACCAGCCCGGGCAACTTGGCGAGACTTCATCTCTACAATAAATCACAAAAACTAGCTGGGCGTGGTGGCGTGCATCTGTAATCCCAGCTACTTGGAAGGCTGAGGTGGAAGGATCGCCGGAGCCCACCAGGTTGAGGCTGCAGTGGCTGTGAGTGTGCCACTGCGCTCCAGCCTGGGGGACAGAGTGAGACGCCAACAAAAAATAATAATTAATAAATACACATAGCCAGGCTTGGTGGCTCAGCCTGTAATCCCAGTAATTTGAGAGGCTGAGGTGAATGGATTGCCTGAGCCCGCAGGTTCGAGACCCGCCTGGGCAACTTGGTGAGACCTCATCTCTACAATAAAATAAAAAATCTAGCCGGGCGTGGTAGCGCACACCTGTAGTTCCGGCTGCTTGGAAGGCTGGGGCAAAATGATCGCCGGAGCCCAGCAGGTCGAGGCTGCGGTGGCCGGGAGCGGCCATTGCACTCCAGTCTGGGTGACAGAGTGAGACTCCAACTCAAAAAAAAAGTAAATGAATCAATCAATAAATACACATATGGGGCTGGGCGTCGTGGCTCATGCCTGTAGTTGCAGCTACTGGGAAGGCTGAGGTGGAAGGAAGGCTAGTCCGAGCCAAGGAGGTCGAGGCTGCCGTCAGGCATGATGGTGCCACTGCACTCCAGCCTGGGCCACAGAGTGGGCCCCTGACTCAAAAAGAAACAAAAGAAGAGCCCCACAGGACACGTGGCCTCTCGAGGGAGAGCCAGGCTTCTGCCAAGGCAAGATGTAGAAGGGGTCTGCTGTGACCGTGAGTGGCAAGAGGAGTTTCTCAAGGACAGGGCAGGGGTGGAGCCGGTTGACAGGCGGGCCGTGCCAGGACGGCCGCGGCAGGGGTGAGGTGGAAGACCAGGGAGCGCTGGGGGACGATAGCCTGCCGCTGGGTGGTGACTATGGAAGAAGATGGCTGAGGTCTCCAGCGAGACAAGGAATCCAGCGGTTCCACTGAGAACGTCAGCATAAAGCGTCTCCGTGATGTCCAGGAGGACGGGAGGTGGAGGGTCCGCTGCCTCTGGCGGACCGCCCTTTGCGAGAAAGAAGGAACGTGTCAGGAGTGTGTGTGTGTGTGTGTGTGTGTGTGTGTGTGTGTGTGTGTGTGTGTGTGTGTGTGTG